CAGTGCAATTTACAACAGGTCTTCCTTCCATACTTTTCAGGCTTTTCTTCACGCTTTAATACTTTGATTTGTAGTTATTTCATCATTGTGTTTCATCAGTGTGCTGGTAAGTAAGTACTTGCTTATTCTTCTCTATTTTGAGCTTATCGCTTTCGTGTGAATTCATGGTTCAAGTGGATCCTTCCGTTACATTAACGGTTTTCCTTTCGTTTAACACTTACGTGGGTTCCATTTATTGGCCCTGGTTTGTCCATCTGTTGTCTCTCATTCTTGCCAACTGACCAGCTCAGCTTGTGTTACTGGCATGCTTCATGTTGGGCTATAACGTAATTTGGACAAATGGAAAATGAATGAGTCGAATGTAAGGAGAAAAATTGGCTCTTTTCAGCGCGATTTTGCATTTGATTATCGCCAAATATGCCCTGATTATTTTTATTAAATCTTGATTTTTCGGTTCCTCCTAATGTCGCTGTTCCACATTTTTTACTCCTTTGGGCCGCCCACTTAATGTTAACCGAATTGGCTGCAATTTATCATTTCACTTAAGTCAGTTTTCCTTCATCGGCCCCTGCTCTTTCCTCCAATCCGCATTGGTTTTCCACTCTTCAGGAAACGGAAAAGATGTTTGGGATTGGATATCCAAGAAATAAAACTCTGCCAGTGCCCTACGGGGTTGGTTGTTCGTAGGAAAACTCCTAAAATTGTTTATTTTTTTAGGCACAAAAGCGATTTTTTGAGCTGGTAAATTCGGAAACAATACTGATTGGACACAGCTTGGAAAGTGATCTAAAAGCGATGCGTTTGGTGCATCATCGTGTGGTTGATACTTCGGTTGTCTTTCCACACCGACTTGGACCACCGTATAAACGAGCGCTGAAAACGATCGCTTCTGAAGTGATCCAGCTGATCATTCAAGAAGAAAGTAAGTTTTCCCACAAAATGCCCTTTTATTTGGTAATTTTTGCAAAACTATTCCATGGTTTTTCCTACGTTTTTATGAGTCTTTTGATACTTTCTTGGCAATTGCTACAGCTCTTTTTCGATTTTTTTT